GCTGGCCTGGAGAGAGAGAGAGTGTGTGTGTGTGTGTGTGTGGGGGGGGGTATATATACCCCATGCAGCCCTAGAGAAGCTCTCTGTCACCTGACTCAGGCTGGCAGCCAGGAGTGCCGCCAGCTTTTCTGCCGCCCTAGGCAGCGGAAGGTCCCGCCCCAAAATGCCGCCCCCCACAGAGGTGGCGGAAGGTCCCGCCGCCGAAATACCACCGCGGTCGCCACCCCCCAAATTGTAGCGCCCTAGGCGACTGCCTAGGTCGCCTAATGGGTTGCGCCAGCCCTGCTGGCAGCACTTACCCACCCCCCATGAAGGTTGCAAAAGGACTGGGTTACCTCAGGACCAGTGTGGGCATTACACTAGTCCCTCTTTTTCCCTGGAGGCTGGAAAGGAATTTGTCCTTCACCACAATATCAGCTGAGGCAGGGTAGAGTTTTTCACCTTCCCCACAGCGGGTTTGGGACTGGGTGGGGTGGGGGATTAAGTTATAATATTGCAATTTAGGATGCAGAACTTGGGGCAGATGTCCAGTGCGAGTACTCGGTTTGGAAGAGTTACGGTTACCAGATAAAATGGACTGGAAAAGGATGTAAAGGAAAGAGAGCTCTTAAGCGAGCTGAGGAAGGGGGATTTTGGGCTCCTATGTCTGGTACAGCGGGGAGCCAACCCCTTCCTTCTGTAGCCCCCTTTTAAGTCCTATGTGGGGATGGCTGGGACCAGGTTGGGGATTATGTGGAAATTATGAAGAAAATGTCCTGCCCTGTGTGATGTATTGCTGGGTACTCCCAGATATTTGAAGTGAATAAAGTTGTGGCCTAATTAAACCACATGCATTGCCTCCTGTCTTTCTGCTGGCAGAGCCAGGCAATGGAGTCTAACAGATGGTAGATGGAAAAAGGGGATGATGAGTGAAAGAGAGAGAGAGGCAACATCTGCATTGTCACATTTCACCTGAATCAGGAATGCTTGGGGAGTCATGGTGAGTTTTTCCCCTTGCGGTGACTGTCATGAAAATGATGGCTTAAAATACCAAGCACATTTTTTGTTTAAATCAAGTTCCATGGTATAGTTCTGACTAAAGTGCACAAAAACAAGGCCAGTTCAGAGTTGAAAGGCTGCCACTCGGTTCTTCACTTACCTCCTGCAGGTTTAGGCATTGCAGCACCAGCACATATGGTGCTACCCACTGTACGAGACACAATGAGATGAAACAGCTCTGTAGCTCACCACAGTTTGGAAGAAGACCAGCTGCCTGATTTCCTGGGTTGCTGTCGGAGTGCATGGACCACTCCCAAAAGAAAGGGGCCCTGTTTAGTGGTGGCAGCTGAGAGACATTTGGGGCAGGGTGCCTGTGGCTGTGCTTGCTGGATGTGTTTCAGTTCCAGTGCCGTGTTTACTCCTTTCCAACTTCCTCCCCAACAAAGGTGTCTTCATGTGTGACGGGCTTTGTGGTTTGCCAATGTTTCTATTGAGAGTCTGTGCTAAGAGCACAGGCCCTTGGTTAAGAATTAGTGATCTCCTTTTGTTCAGAGTATCTGGGCTGGGAGTGATTATTTGGGAAAAGGGGAGAAGGACTTGCGAGTTCACACTGCCCACATTTGTTGTGATCTTTACAGCTAGGGCGGGTGGCTAGGAAGAGGGAAAGCTGAGACTAGGTTTTAACACATCCATCTCAGCGGGGAAGCAAGCCTTGCTGATAGAAGAGGGCACCTACTTTCTTCAGCAAATTCAAGTCCAACATATCAAAGTATTGAATAACCTTTTTCTAAGGTGTGTAGAACTAAGATAGGGCACAAACTATAAGCCA